GTAAAGGTAAGTCTCCTCCTCCTCCTCCTCCTCCTCCTCCTCCTCCTCCTCCTCCTCCTCCTCCTCCTCCTCCTTCGTGTACCCATATCCTGTGCCAGGTACAGGAGCCAGGCACCCAGAATTCTCCCTAGGATCGAGGTCCAGGTACAGGATCTACGCAGGTCCAGGTACAGAATCAAGAATCCTGTACCCAACCCAGATCCTGGACGTGGTGCCTCCACTTCCAGCGGCGGCCGCGGTGGGCTGCGTCTTGAGACAGCTGCTCCTGTTGCTGCCGCTCCTGTTGCGACGCTTCTGAACGAAGGGTGGATGGCGAAGGAAGGGATGTCGAGAACGAGGGGGAAGGCACGGCGAGACGGAAAAGCGGAGGTGAGGTGAACGTTGTGTTGCAGGGAGGTTGGAGGGACGCCTCGAGCTGAACGCTGCTAGTTGCAGCGTCCATGCGATGAGATGCAGCCATCTCCACCCCGTTGGTTGGCCTGGCTTGCGCTGGGCGGTGGAGGGCCACCGCGGTGGGCGCGCATGCGCCGGCGTGTGCCGCCGCGCGTCCGATCGGCAGCTTGTGCCGTCGAAGCCCTCTCCCTCGCCCCAGGCCGTCCCTGTGCTATCAACGGGGGGAGCGTGCCCGCGCCGCCGGCGCGCAGCGGAGCAGAGGGGAGGGGCGAGCGGGGGGGGGGGGGACTGGGCTGAGCGGGGCTGCCAGCGGCGGCGTGCCTCGGTGGTCAGCCGCTGGTGGACGGGGCCGTCGGCGGTGGCGTTATCGCTGATCGTGGCCCTGCTGGAAGTTGGACCGTCGGGGCAGCGGTGGGTTACTGTTGAGTCGGGCCTGTCCCTCTACGGGAGGAAAATGTAAAAAATTGTCAAAAAATAGCCTGAGGACTATTTTTCAATAATGTTTTGACCATTTGGGATTATGTTTTAATTATTTTTATTTCACCTCCAAAATTCTCCTGTGGGGGGACAGGCCCGACTTAAGGCTACTGAGGTGGTCGTGCGAGCGCAGTGGCAGCAGCGAGCAAACTGGGCGAAACAGGTTGGGAAGGCGCGGGTGAGGGAGAGGTGTGCCCCAGGGAGGGAGGGAAGGAGGATGCGCAGGCGTGGCCCGCGACGCTTTCGGCGTGCGGCAGCGGCCACTCTCGGCTGGCGGTGGCCCTGAGTGTAGCTCCCCCCGGCCACCCCGTGCGATCCAACCCCCTCCGACCCACATGAGAGGGAAGGAGAAGGACGAGGAAGGGGGATGGCGGGAGAGAAAACAGGAGGCGCGGAGTGACGAGCTGGTGACGCCAACGGTCTGGCAAGGCTGGCCTGCAACGTGCAGCTGTGAGCCTGTGGCGCTCGCGAGTCAAGGGCGAGTGATTCTTCGCCCCTCTTCATTTTTGAGGGGCGTCGTCGGATGATCGGTGCCCTTCTGTGGCCAGCTGGAAGGGTAAGAAGCACATCGGGAGGCTGGTGTCCATCGGTGCCTTTTGTGTGGTCGGCTCACGAAGCAGAAAGGCCACCGATCATGCCTACACATGGTTCATTTCTAAGTTTTCGAACGTTCTGTGATTTTTGGGGGGCCAAGATCCTTTCATTTCTAATCGTTCTATCCTGGGCCTCTTCCCGGCCACTACGGGGCCAGGAACAATTAGAAACGAGCACACTTAGAAATGAGCACGATCAGACATGAACGGCGTGTACGTGCAGGTGCTCGCCTCGTCCCTCAACTCACCTCCCCCAAAAAACTCCCATCCTCGAGATTCCGCGGCAGCGTCTGCAGGGTGGCCAGAAGCCCCCAGCGTCCGTCACGCTGTGCGTAAGTCGGGCGTGTCCCCCATACTGGGGGATTTTCGACGAAAAATTCAACATACTCAAAACATATTCCAAACATGTCAGAAGGATACACAACAAATAGTCCCCAGACTATTTTTAAAATTATTTTTGAAGATTCATCCTGTAGAGGGACAGGCCCGACTTAACGCTGTGCCGACTTGACAGGCGTCCCGATGCTCATCAGACAGGGGCGCGGGTGAGCGAGGAGGGAGAGGATGCCCCCCGGGGGACTGCCGCGGAGACGGCGGAGCCCGGGGGGAGGGAGACCGAGGATGCGAATGGGAACGAGGACAATGGCAGAGGAGGGGTAAAGGTGTGGAGGACGATAAATGGAGAGGAAGCATGTTGCCAAATCGTTTCCATATATTTAGAACATGTGTTAAGATTGTTTAAACATGTAGAAAAACAGTTACAACCATGTTCAGGACATGTTTCTTACATTTTAATCATATGTTTACTTCGATGACAGGACTGTTAGGGTGTCCATTGCCGTGGCATCCACAAAGGTAAATGTGTGGGCGGCGCCTCTGAATGAGTACCCGTGACAGTCACGCTGCACCTCGTGTTCCGCAATGCTTTGCCATGCATGTGGTCCGCGGCCTTCAGGGCAGGCTGAGACTTGTGTTGTACGTGGCCATAGCCCGCCGCCGACTCTTCGGATGACGGTGATCGCGCCGAAGAGGAGGGA